TGCCTGGAGGCATCGCCCGTTGCAGATCACCTCGAGTAGTAGTGGTTGTTGCTGCTCCGAGTAACCGTAGATGGTCTCGCTTATAGGATCATAGGGTACGTCGAATAGATCATCCCTCGGTCCTGCGCTCGAAGCTGCTGACTCCATATCAGTTTTCAACTGAGTTGGGTTAGAAGGATTTATCCGAGGCCGATTCAGCTTTGTCTTGGCCTGGAACCTTCCATTAAGCCTTTGCATCTGTGTAGGCTTCTCCTGTGGGCAATGGGGAGCCTTAACACTACCGTATTTTCTCGTATATAAGACCCGGGGGACTTTATAAAAATTCAATTAAAAAGGCTAGGGTGAACAACATGGAGGATGGAAATAGATAAGACCCATGTACTCTTTTAAAACATTATACAGTGCTGTACACTATCTATTTAAAGGAACGGGGGGGTCTTTTATTCCAGAAGTTTGAGTTCTTAGTACCGGAAACCGTGCTTTTACGCCGCTGAGTCAGAGACTGTGCATCACGAGGCGTGCGGGCTTATCTTTTGCCAGCACGATGCAATTACCTCCCACTCTCACCGCCCGCTGTCAAGACCCCCTTCCCGCCTGCGGTCCAACAAATTGATCTTGGCGTAGTGTCGTGGGGACCATCGCCCCCACGTCTCTCGTCAGCCCAGATTGTCAGCTCCTTTCTCGAGCAACCCGAAATCCCTTCATATGGTCGCACCTAGGGCGATGTCACCAAGCGTTCAAGCTAGCACTGGCCGCCATGTCGGCCTTCTCTATTCTCATGCAGTTACGAGGCGGTGGCAGTAGATCCATGCCAGTCGTTCCTGATCCCGCTGTTCGTTCGGTCCCGATCGTGGTAGCCCCGCCAGCTCCACCCTCTCCACCAGTGCCTCCGACACCACTGGCGCCACCAGCTCCTCCAGCTCCTCCAGCGCCTCCAGCTCCCCCAGTCATCATTGCACCGTTGACACCGTTGTTTGAGCCTGTGAACGAAGAGGATCTGGAAGGCGAAGTTCCGCTTCCAGAATCGCCATCTAAAGCTGCTCCTACGTACCCGCTCCCCCGCTTCCCTGCTGACCTTGTTCACGACGAGGAAGAGCCCACTCGTAATCGAGATGCTCGCCCACCGTCACCCCGCAACCGCCCCACCAAGCACCGACGCACGTCAAGGGCTGTGGCGGAGAAGCTAAGCTTCCTAGAGAGGATGAAGAGCGAACAGATGACGGTGCGTGCAACTGCACGCCTCGCAGGTGTGCAGCCGATTAGCATCCGCCGCTAGCTCAAGAGCGAGGAGCACATGAAGAAGGCGGCACGCTATCGCAAGCGCCTCGTTGGCGGCGGCCGTCACGCCAAGTTCCCTGCTATGGAACTTAGCGTTTACCGCAACTTCATTTCATTTCGATCTCGCGGCCTAGCCGTTCCTACCCGCCTCCTCATGAACTGGAGCGGCACGTACATGAAACGCCACCATCCCAATGTCGACTGGCGGGCTTCTGTTTGTTGGTGCATGCGATTCCGTGCTCGGTGGGGCCTCGCCATGCGAGTGAAAACCAAAATCGGCCAGCGTCTCGCTAAAGGTAAACAATCCTCGCCATGTCGTTAATGCCCTGTGCTCAAAGGTCCGAGGGAACCGTGACTAACTATCTCGAGTTGTTTGTGCAGATTGCAAGCCCAAATGTGAGAGCTTTTGGGCGTTTGTCCGGAGGCAAGTCACTCGTGACGGGATTGATCCTTGGAATATTGTGAACGCGGATCAAACCCCCGTGTTCCTCGAGATGCCGCAGGAGAGAACACTGCACCACTGAGGCGAGCACACTGTCCATGTACGCACGGCGGGGTACGAGAAGGAACGACTCACCGTGATGCTCGGTGTGTCGGGAACGGGCAGGAAACTGAATCCGATGGTGATCTTCAAACGGAAGACCATTCCGAACATCCGCTATCCCGAGGGTGAGTTTCCTGTCTTTTACCGGAAGCTACACTAGTGAATATGTGACTAAAAGCCTGTCATTGTACCTGCTGCAGGCATCCTGGTCCGTGCGCATCACCGTGGGTGGATGGACGCCACCCTTGTGCAGGATTGGGTGCAGCATGTGTTGCTACCTTTTGTGCGCCCCCTTGCAGGTATCAACCGGAGCTAGTCGCTGTTGGTGCTAGACTCTTATCGGGGCCATCTTACCGAGCCGGTCCTTGGTTTACTGCGCTGGAACTGCGTGACGCCGGCCGTCAACCCCGGCGGATGCACATCGTTGCTCCAGCCTCTCGACGTGAGCGTGAACAGGTGCTTCAAGGCTGGCATGCGCCGGCGGTACAATGACTGGTTCGCGACCGAGGGAATCAACTCCCTCACGCCTGCAGGTACAGTGCGCCTCATTTCCCATGCGTGCATGTGTAACCATTGGTTTTAGTGAGTGTGAATGTGCCTCGAATCCGATTCCGTTTCACCTCTGTGCCCCACCCCTTCCCCCAGGGAATCTACGCAAGCCTCCCGCCGAGCTCATCCTTAAGTGGATCGCGGAGTCGTGGGCGGCGGTGCCGGAGGACCTCATCGTGCGGTCCTTCAAGACGTGCGGCATCACAAACAGCCCCGACAGTCGCGAGGACCACCTCACCCTCGCCCACATGCGTGATGCGGCGGAGGTTGAGGTGGCGGAAGATGTGAATGCGGCTGCAGAGGTAGAAGAGTGGGTCAACCCACTCTTTGCTAACCCCGTGCAGGATGAGGACGCCGCCGAGGGCGCCGAGACAGATTCTGAGGCTGATGAGCCCAACCATGACCCTGACGACCCCACCACCTACGAGGACTTGGATGATGAGTAGCACAACCGTACAACAAGGAATGCATGGTAGCCAGGAAACGTGATACAGCTACGGCAACTACTGGTAGGCTAACCGTGATCACATGTGTATGGAATGTTCACATTCAAGGTATGGTACGGTATTATGAATGGTAGGGGAGGGAGAGTTTAGTGTATGTACGTATCTGAAGTATAAATTTAGAAAATGCGAAGTACTTCATGCCATAAATGGGAACTCTAAGGAAGGGGGAGGGTCTTATAAACTCTGGGTGCCAAGGGGGGGTCCTCACAGATTGGTCCTAAATAAGCGTACCACCCCCCGCATTAAAGACCCATGGGACGGTTATTCCGGCGGGTCTTAAATACGGGAAAATACGGTATGCTGCGGGGAGAGAATAGTAACTCCTTGGAACGCACGACCCTTTTCAACGCTCCGGAGTGGTTTGCCCAACTTCTCAAGTACCTGAATAATGTCTGAAGGCTTTTTCTTGGCCTCGAAATCTCCCCTGGATTTTTTAAAAGGCTTGAAAACCTTGAGAGGGAATATTCTTACTCTCGGGGGTGTTCGGCTGGAGTTTCCCGATCGGTGCAGAGTCTTGTTTTGCGGAGCCTCCTTTTGTCTCGGCGATTTCCCCTGTTGCTGGCCGGTCGTGGCGTTTTAAATTCGCGCCATCATGATCTCCTTTTTTCGCCCTCATGGATGTCGCACTGTTGTTGCCCTGCAGCTCCGCTCATGCCTTCTTCATTTTCCAACACGCCAAGAGTCGATGTCCTGCTGCGCCGCAAAATTCGCACTTCTCATATTGTGTCGGCCGCTGCTTCGCGTCGATCTTGTCGATATCCATCGGGTCGGCGGTCGTGGGTGGTGCCGATTGCTTAGTGCCAAATGATCGGTTCGGCATGTGGCGTCGTGTCTGGTTCGCCTCAAGCCAACGCATCTAATCTCTCTGCTGCACACACCAAGTCGCGGTAATTGTTGTAGGTCGCGGCAATCACCTGTCGGCGGACTTCCATCTTTAGCCCCTCGGTATACGCTTGGATTTTTTCCCCTTCGGTCAGGTCGGTTATTCGGGTGAAGAGGCTCTCCATCTTCTGCGTATACTGTGTTAGGGTACATTCGTAGCCCGTGTCAGACATCAGGTCAGACACGAAGTGGAGGCTCGAAAGACCCGAAGTGGCCCGTTTGTAAGGCAAAATCGAGTTCGGAAGAGGCAAAATTTTGACTAAGGACTGATGACTTGATGTCTGACACTCAATACGAATGTACCCTTACACCCCCGAACAGTTTATGCCGATGAATCTGCTGCCGTGCCATGTAGCTGGAGTTGATTGGTTCGAAACGTTAAGTTAAAGCTTCCCGAAACTGTGTCCATGACCTCTCGCCTCGGATCTTATTGCTGTTGTAAATCCACTCGAGCGCCGGGCCTCGTAACAATGTCGCTGCGAGCCAAATCCACATTGCATCGTGTGTCGGGGTCGTACAGCCAACGGCCTCGAAGTAAATTTCGAGGGTCGTAATGAATCGACGGACGTCGATGTCTCTAGCATTCGGATTGAAGCTCTCCGGTAGCCTCGGACGTGCCGCCTCAAGATTCACTGTAGCTGCTGCCGCTGCTGCTGGGTGAAGTGTCGGTGTAGCCGCTGCTGTTGCTGCTGACGTCGCTGCTGACGTCGCTGCTGACGTCGCTGATGCATTCGCCGCTGCGTTCGTTGCTGTCGTGGCGGCTGCCGACTGGTTAGCGAGAAGCGCCTCTATTCGCTGGAGTACCGCTCGCGTCTGGTCCAAGCCGGTGAGTAACTCCGTAATTTTTCGTGCGGAATTATCACCTTTTTCCTCCATTTTGCGATTTACAGGAAGATTTGCGACGAAAATAAATGAATTCTAGACGCTGGTCATCTTACTGTGAGTTGAATCGACTGTAGCAATGACGAGGGCTGATTCTGTAGGTTGCGTAGTTCTCCCTTAGTCGAAATTCGCGTCCGATTTTGGTTGTTGAGAAGAAATTCGATCCGACACTCCAAATTCCAACTTTTCTGTGCGAAATTCTCAGTGCCGTTGAGATTCGAATCAATCCGACGGTCGAAATTCCAACTTTTTCGCCACTGGACATGAGGAGTGTTCGAAAACCGGTTCAAGGGGTGCGTTAAAAAATATCGCGGAACTGGTTTACGTACCCGAAATCGGCGCTTTCCGTCGCCGCCCCTTCACGGCCCCGTCGCCGCCCCTAGCGGCCCGTCGCCGCCCTTCCAGGCCCCTCGCGGCCCCTTCGCGGCCTCGTCGCCGCCCCTTCGCGGCCCCGTCGCCGTCCCTAGCGGCCCGTCGCCACCCTTCCAGGCCCCTGGCGGCCCCTTCGCGGCCTCGTCGCCGCCCCTTCGCGGCCCCGTCGCCGCCCCTAGCGGCCCGTCGCCGCCCTTCCAGGCCCCTCGCGGCCCCTTCGAGGCCCCGTCGCCGCCCCTATCGGCCCCGTCGCCGCCTCCAGCGGCCTCGTCGCCGCCCCTTCGCAGCCCCGTCGCCGGCCCTAGCGGACTGTCGCCGCCCTTCCAGGCCCCTCGCGGCCCCTTCCCGACCCCGACGCCGCCTCCACCGGCCCCGTCGCCGCCCCTTGCGGCCCCGTCGCCGCCCCTTTCGGCCCTGCCTCGACCCTGCCCCGGCCCCGCCCCGGCCATGCTCCGTCGCCTGTCGCGGCGCACCGGGGGCACGTGCACCGCCCCCCCCTCTTTTCTCGTCGCCTGTCGAGGCGACCTGAGGGGGTCGCGTGCGGGGAGGGGGGGGCGAGCGTCGCCCCTTCTGCCGCCTGCTTTGGCGCCCTGGGAGGCCGCGCGTCGGCCCCCCCCTTCCCCCCCCCCCCCCCCCCGTAACCTCCCTACCCGCCATCCCGCCCTGCCCTGTGTTAGGGTTTGGGGGTGGCGAGTAGGGGGTGGCGGGTGTGTGGTCTCCCCTGCTCCTCCTCCTCCTCTGTCTCCCACTGCTGCAGCTGCCGCTGAGGGGGGTGGGTGTGTGGGAGTCGATGGAGTGGTGCTAGGGGGTGGGGTGTGAGTGAACCTAGGGTGCAGCAGGGGGTGTGTGAAAGGGGGGTGCTTTGGGAGTAGAACTAGGGTTTGAGCAGGGGTTGTGTGTCGGGAGGTGTGGGGCAGCTGGAGGAGGTTGTGTGAAGGTAGCTGTTGTGTCGCCTGCAGCGCCTGTAGTCCGTCGCCCTTGCTTCGGTAGCCAGTGAGCCTGTTGCACCATTCGCCAGTGGGTCCGTTGCTCCTGCCGCTTGTCTATAGCCGCGGAGCCAGTTACTCCAGTAATCCGTCGCCCTTGCTTCGGTAGCCACTGAGTCAGCCGCTCCTGTGCCCGTGCCTCTGCAGCTTCAGTCGTTGCCTCCCATCTTCTCTCCCTCCACAGTTCCTCCTCCTCCTCACTTGCTCCATTGCAACGCCACTCACCGTGGCCTGGGAGAGCTCGTACATCTCCTGCAGAGCGATCATGCTGTCATCTGAACAGCCTCCCTTTCCCCCCTTTCCCCCCGTTCCCCCCACATGCCACTCACCGTATCTTTCGAGAGCTCGTACATCTCAGTGAGAGCGTTCATGCTGTAGGGCGGCGCGACCCATCCAATGGCGGTGAAGAGGTCCCGATTCAAGAGGTTTTGCGAGTAGTAGGCCGTGTCAACCAGGAACCAGCAGGCTGCCGTGGCCAGCAGGTGCACGCCGTGGTGGTGCAGGAACTCTCGCGACAGCAGGCTGTATGTTCGCACAGGGGCTGTTGCTAGCTCGATTTCCACTTCTGCTTCCTCGAAGGCCGAGTGAAACATCTGGAGGAGGAAGGAAGAGGGGAAGGAGGTAAGGGGGCGGTAGAGGGGTGGATGGCAGAAAAGGGAGTCTCGTTCAAAGTGTTGTGTGCCATTGTAACGAGGTGACTGTTGAGTCGACTCAAAGTCACCTCGTTACAATGACGAGGTTGGGATTGGTTGCGGCATGGGAGTAGGAGTGGGAGTAGGACAGCAATGAGACAGTGCAATACCCTCAGCAAAGGGAGGAAGGGCAATGGGAGCAATTGAAGAGCCTCATGCAGACAGCATTACGCACCCGTCAAAGCGTTTTTCGGACGTCTCAAGATTCCACCCAACCGCAACCCACCCAACCGCACCACCCAACCCCTCCACACAACCCCACCTACCCACCTGCCCCATGTCCCGTGCAGCCTGCTTGGCATTCCTCTGCACGAGCGTGGTAAACCTCGGTGTCTCCAGCATGGTCATTCGAAAATAGAAGGTGAGCTTTGCTGGCACCGCCCCCGCTGCCAGCACCACTCGCCACGCGTAGTCGGCTTGGGGCGGCACGAAGGCAATAGCGCCTTCGTCGAAGGGGGGCGAGGGGAAGGCTGCGTTGAAGAGAGCCCCGATGGCCATGGTGAATAGCGCCGCTGCTAGTATGCCCATGCCCTGCAGGGGTGGAGTGGGATGGGGTGGGTTGGAGGGAGGGTGTATCCTGCTGTATCTGCATGGGGAGAGTGTGTGTGTATGGGGCTCCCAGTGTTGGAAGGCTGTGTTGAAAAGAGCTCGTTTGGCCATTGTGAATAGCGCCGCTGCTAGTATGCACATGCCCTGGCGGGGGAAGGGGTGGTGTGCGGTGGGGTAGGGTGGGGTGGGTGGGGTGTGTTGAGGTAATGGCCCATGTGACTAACTAAGTTGGTGTGATTGAATGGTATGGGACAGGAAGAATGCGATGGCCTGCGATGGCATCACATCCAAACTTGCGTCAGCTTTCGACCGTCAGATTAACACCTGCTCGATCTACGGCCCACATTCCAACCTTCAACTTCATTTGGGCCAGTTCATCGTCGACCGTCAGATCGAAATCGGACTTCATCGACGGCCTACATTCCAACCTTTTCAAAATTATTGTCAAAGGCATTTCGGCCGTTGGATTCAGCTGAAGAGGAGATCTACGGCATCCTTGCTAGTGTGGGGTCTGTTTTCAGTACAGGGCTGCGTTATTTAGAAGGTGGGAGAGTGTAAGGATTTATACATCCTTACTGAGGCACTCGTTAGCAAGGACATCCCGAGGGTCACGCGACGAACCTGTTCTGCCTATTTCGTCGCAACGAACCACTCCCGAGTCGGCCTCCGCACCAATCGCAACCATCACCGAGCCATCTTCGCCCTACCTCTCCGCTTAGCTAGGACTTCCCCTATTTAGGTCTCGTCCCTTTCCTTGTATCGTCATTCTGTAATTCAACATTCTCGTTATTCGTTTTACTGCGCACTCTGCAAGTTCATTCATAACAAGAACATTGAAATTTAATCTGTACTCTCGCGTAGAAATGAACATGACGAGAACAATCCAGGACACGTTATTCCCGGCTTTCTGATCGTACTAACAGTCGTAAGCCAATCGGATTTGTCGAACAATCTAAAACGAAAGCGATAGCGAGCTTGCTCGAAAGTTATGCCAACTGTTATGTTTCTCAATTACGGAACTGGTTACGATTCGGTACAGTGATTCTGAAAAAGCTTGTATATTTATGATAAACAATAAACGCTCAGATGTTACCGAGCTACCGTATACTCCCGGACAAAACACCCCCCCATAATTGTACACCCCCGGGTAGCTTGTGCGGGGTGGGTGTTATGATAGACCTCGTTTCTACTATACCCCCCTTTTTGCCTGATTTTCTATAACACCCCCCTTTTCTTAAGGATTCATTAGTATAGTCGTTAACGAGTAGCTGCAATACGGAAGAATGTCGTGTGAATTTCTCCCTCAATGAAATTTCGCGGTACATTCAAAGGCAATCTGCCGAGATTTGCCCTCTCCCACTATTTCTCTGTTGCCACGTGCAGGTGAATCTTCCGTTGCAAGTGGCAAGAGAGGTGTCACATGGCATTTTCGTGAGGGCGATGAAGTTCGAGGCCGAAACTGACATTCGCGCCTCAGGCAGTGATGCTAAAACGACCAGCAAAACACCCACATTGACTAATTAAAAAAACACTAACACTAAAATATGCCATATGTAAAGACCCGGGTATTATGTATTTTTTTCCTATGAGGAGACCCCCCCCATTTTTTCCCTGTATTTTTAGCTATACCCTAGGGTGTTATGTCCGGGAGAATACGGTACCTCGTAGTAGTAACACATGTGGAAAATACGCAGGGTTTAGAACAGTCTCCATTACATTGGTTATTGAAACGTATAGAGTAATTTCAGTACACAACACAATTTTTATTAATCAACCGTGCTATTGATGTTTTTCATTACCGTACGAACTTTAGCGAGCCAACGCCCTACATCAAACTCAAATGGTCAGATAGCTTCTCATGATTTGTCTGGCTAACGCATCAGCTCCGCTATTTCTGTAAATGGCTACCAAGTTATGGGCTGCTTCTCGTTTCAACCCTGCGTCATATTCCTGCCCTTCCTGATCTCTAACCTCCCTGCTTCTGCGGCTTCTCAATCCCAGCTGCTCGGCCGTGGCATGGTGCCGATGTGGAGTGGCGGAGGAGAGAACGCGCTTGTAGTGGTCGACAGCGAGGTGCAGCAGACCCACATGGTGGAACGCACGACCCAGGTTGAAATGCACCTCCTGACATGTGCCACAGGGAACCAAACAGGAAATGCTGGCCATGGGAAGGAGATGACAAGGGGAGCAGAAGGCGGGTCCACTTGGGAGCGCACATCACCAATCGAGCTTGTTGAGGGTTCAAATGGAGTACCCATTGGCCTCCTCCTAAGATGCCCTCACCTGAGTGTCGCCTGATAGCTGGGCGTACTGCTGCAGCAGCGCCATGCCCTGCAGCACACACTGGCTGCGGTCACGCAGGCGCGAGCCCAGGGAGAGATTCAGCAGCGCCACTCCTGGTGGCAGCGAGGGTGTGCGGTGTGGGAGGGAAAGGGGGATGAGAGGGATGAGGGGGATGAGACGGGTGAGGGGGATGAGAGGGATGAGGGGGATGAGAGGGGTGAGGGGGATGAGAGGGGTGAGGGGGATGAGAGGGGTGAGGGTAGGATTGTAGAAAGTTGCGGTAGTGAAACACACATGAGCTGGTAGGAACAGTGCAGACGACAGCTCCCAGAGCTACACCCATGACAGCATCCCCCCCTCTCCCCGCTTCCTCCCCCACCCCCTTCCCATTGCTCCTCACCACAGCACCGCCCTGAAAGCCCCTCCCAGCGCACCGCAGCAGAGGCAGATGAGGGGGTCGTGGGGGTGCAGGCGGTGGGCGCGCAGGTACTCGCGGCAGGCGCCCTGCATGTGGCCGCGCAGCGCATGGTGGTGGCCCGACACCAGCATGGCCGCCACGCACACCGGGTGCCGCATGCGCATCTGCTGCAGGAACTTGGCCCGCCGGTCGTTGCTCTCCGTGCCCCTGCACGGGGGGAAGGGGCGCAACCGTGGTGGGCGGAAGGAGGTCTAATGCGTGACTCCTGTGCTTGTGGTGATGGAGCTTTGGATGTGCATGGGTGTGTGTGTGGTTGGATCTGTGTGGTTGTGGTTGGGTGGGCGTGTGGGTGTGTGTGTGTGCATCTGACAAATACACACAGTGGTCCCTCCCTAAATCTTGGCATCTTGTTCAATCCATCAGAGTGGGCGCAAACGAAAGAGTGGGGTACATGTGTACATGAGAGAGAGAGAGAGAGAGAGAGAGAGAGAGAGAGAGAGAGAGAGAGAGAGAGAGAGAGAGAGAGAGAGAGAGAGAGAGAGAGAGCACAGAGCGCACCGGAGGGTGAGGGAGTGGAAGAGCGACCAGCCGCGGATGCTGTGAGGCTGCTCGCTGATGATGGCCCGCGCCACCTCGAACTGCAGCATGCCACTCGCCTCCTCTGCACGCCCATGAGATGCAAGCACAGTGGCATGGCCGCAGGGAGGACGGGAGGTGAGGGCATGGGAGGGAGAGGGAAACAGCAGCATGGAGGAGCAGAGGAGATGGCCAAGGGAGGGACATAGGAGATGGCCAAGGGAGGGACAGAGGAGATGGCCAAGGGAGGGACAGAGGAGATGGCCAAGGGAGGGACAGAGGAGATGGCCAAGGGAGGGACAGAGGAGATGGCCAAGGGAGGGACAGAGGAGATGGCCAAGGGAGCGACAGAGGAGATGGCCAAGGGAGGGACAGAGGAGATGGCCAAGGGAGGGACAGATGAGATGGCCAAGGGAGGGACAGAGGAGATGGCCAAGGGAGGGACCGAGCGCTCACCAGCAATGGCTGACTGCAGCTGCTTCCGCATGGGCTTGGGAAGGTTCCGCGAAAGAGCGGTTTCGACGAGGCGCTCAGCTTCCATGGGGCGGCCCTCGTGCAGCAGAGCCTGCACCACCTGGCGGGGTGGGGGTGGGCAGCAGGTGGGGGGAGAGAAGTGTAGGGTCCGAGCAGGCTGTTGAGAGCACTCATGCAACGGGCAGAGATTTAGAAGGAACAGAGGGATACGTGCAGGAAGTAGGGCCTGCGGGGTGGAAACGTGTGGAATGCAAGAGGCAGGGCAGGGTGGGGTGCATGGGAAGAGGAAGGGCAACTTGGGGCAGGATGAGTGAGGGGCTTCAGGGGTGTGGCGGAGGGAGGGTGGTGGCAGCAGCAGGGCCAAGGGGAAGCAACGGCCTGCCAGCACGAGCGCCACCATCAACTCACTCACCCGAGCACCCACCAGTGATTGCATCAGTGCTTCTCAGCAAAGTGAACGACAGTGCAAGGCATTACGAGGCGAGACGCAGGAAGGGGAAGGAGGAAGGAGGAAGAAGGAAGAAGGACAAACTGGGCGCAGGCGCACCTTGAGCAGCAGGGTGAACTGCTGGTCGTCTGAGAAGATTCCAGGAAGCGGCACCTCGTGCAGCGTGGGCTCCTCCACGTCCTTCAGCCCCAAGTCGCTCAGCTATGAGCGGCGCCACGAGGGGGAGGGGAGGAGGGGAGGGGGGGGGGGGGAGGGGTTCAGAGCGCAGGGCTTGTCCACGCCCTGCAGGCCCAAGTCGCTAGCTGGACGCCGCAAGGAGAGGGAGAGTAAGGGGAGGAGGAGGCAAGGAGGAAGAGCGAAGGAGGAGGAGAGGGTGGTTCCAAAAGGACAAAAGGGTGGTTCAGAGAGGACAAAAGGATGGTTCAGAGAGGACAAAAGGGCGGCTCAGAGAGGACAAAAGGGCGGCTCAGAGAGGACAAAAGGACGGCTCAGAGAGGACAAAAGGGTGGCTCAGAGAGGACAAAAGGGTGGCTCAGAGAGGACAAAAGGGTGGTTCAGAGAGGACAAAAGGGTGGTTCAGAGAGGACAAAAGGGCGGCTCAGAGAGGACAAAAAGGCGGCTCAGAAAGGACAAAAAGGCGGCTCAGAGAGGACAAAAGGGTGGCTCAGAGAGGACAAAAGGGTGGTTCAGAGAGGACAAAAGGGTGGTTCCGAGAGGACAAAAGGGTGGTTCCGAGAGGACAAAAGGGTA